ACCCGCTCCATGCAGATGGTGCAGTCCTGCGGGCACAGCGGGCAGGCTGAGGGCTGGGCAGGGCAGGACGTCCCTTCTCGGGCACCCAACTATCACAGGGAGAAGACGTCCATCTACCAAATTCAGATATGTGGTTCCCCCCCTTTCCCCCCCCCCCAAAGAGATTAAAGGACTGTCAGCAGCAAAACCTAAAAACTATGGGTGAAAATAAGATACAAAAACTGTCAATCGCCGAAAGATTGACACCTGTGATTCTATTACACTCAGCTTTCTGTTTATCAAAGGACATTGTGAAGAGAGTGAAAAGGCAAACCCACAAACTGGGAGGAGGGACTGGAACAGAACCAACTCTGCAGGCAAGCCCGCCCTCAGCCCGGTCCCCGCGGCCCCTGGCGCTCACCTCATCAGGCGGGTTCTTCACCTTCTGCATGTACCTTCGAACCACATCCTCAGGGTTCTTACCTGCAAGGACACAAGCGGGTGGGCTGGAGGGCGCCCCGAGTCTACCCCAGGCCGCAGCTCGGGATGGAGTCAGGGGTTGGAGAGGTGGGGTTGGCAGGGGTGAAAGGTCAGGGGTTGCTGCCGGTGGATGTACTTGGAGTTCGTGCGGAAGGAGTGGGGGGAACGGGAATTGAGATCAGGAGATGGAGGTGAGGTCGTCAGTCCAGGAGCAAATCGGAGCTGACCGTCAGAGGGATTGTGGTCAGGGTTAGTGGGGTTCAGTTCCGGGGTGGGGGGACGGAGGGGGCGTACTTTTCTTGAGGTGCTTCTTCTTGGTCTTGCGGCACACCCCGGGCACACCGGGCACGGGCTTCACGTCGCTCTTGCTCACCGGCGGCGGGTGCAGGATAGGTTTGGGTGCCCGGGTCAGGCACACGGGCAGCCCGGCAGCGCAAAGCAGGATCCCGGTCATCCCTGGGGGCGTGGCCTGGGCAGTCAGGGGCGGGGCGCCCTCCAGGCCCCGCCCACCACGCACTTCCCACCCTTCTGTTATCGGGTGTACGCAGGGGGCCTCTCTCTCAGACTCCGCCTACCGACTTGCATCCAGGGGTCTTGGGGTTCTCAGGTGGATGAGTGGGGTGTGCCCTGGGCCTCCCCCCTCAACCCCACCCCAGGTTGAAGCCAAGAATGCCTTCTGCGGGCCCCGCCCACCCTGGTGTCATGAGAGAGGGTGTGTCCTCGGGGCCCCGCCCACGAGCTCATTAAGGGGTGGAGTCAAGAAGCCAACAGGTGGGCCCCCTTCCGCTCTTCCTCGTGGGCTGGATCTCACCTGCCAGGGCCGGGTGGACTGGGCCGGTCCCATTCAAGTTCTTCACCGGGAGCGCGGGGACCCTGAGGAGAGAAGAGAAGAGGCTGCAGTCCCCACACCAGAGGGTCCAGGGACCCTGGGCACAGCGTGACCGCTTTGTGCCTGTCCCAGTCATCCAGAATGACCCCAGGGGACTCCATGCCTACTGCCACACCCTTCTATGACAAGGTGGGTGTGGCCAGGACCCCTAGACTTGGTACCGACTCTCCCCCAGTCTTCAGCCGGCCTCCTCCCTGGTCAGAGCACCTGGGTTCCCACGGCTCCCTTTCACTGGCCACTGTGCCTGAAACCCACCCATCAGCGACTTGGTCATTCCCGCCTCTCTCTCAGTTTGCTCTATGAGGCCTAATCCCCATCAAAGGTTTTGGGAAAGAAGGATTCTGGGGTCCAGTAAGTTAGGAAACACTTCAAAGTCTCCCTCTTGCCCTAACCGGTTTGGCTCAGTGGATAGAGCGTCAGCCTGCGGACTCAAGGGTCCCAGGTTCGATTCCGGTCAAGGGCATGTACCTTGGTTGCGGGCACATCCCCAGTAGGGGGTGTGCAGGAGGCAGCTGATGGATGTTTCTCTCTCATCGATGTTTCTAACTCTATCCCTCTCCCTTCCTCTCTGTAAAAAAATCAATAAAATATATTTTTTTAAAAAGTCTCCCTCTTGGAAAATTTACAACATATATGAGCATATTGAAGGCTCTGGTAAGTCCTGCATCAGGAAATATGGTTAGTCTCCCTCTTGGAAAATTTACAACATACATATATGAGCATATGAAAGGCTCTGGTAAGTCCTGCATCAGGAAATATGGTTAGCGATGGCAAACCCAGGTTTTCCAAAGACATCTGATAATGAACATTTTTTGCATCTCTGCAATATCTACTGTCTTCAGGTCCTGAGACGTACGCATTGTCCTCTCTTCAAATGAGGAGACCCTAGGAAAATGCAGTCTGCTTGTCCTCCTCGCCCTCCCCCCAGAGAGCTCTGACTTTTGGAAATCACCCATAGCTGCTCTCGTATCTCAGGTCAACCACTGACCAGCTGGGTGGCCCCCAGCGCATCCTCCTCCTCCTCCTCCTCCTCATAAGCCCATAAGCCTGTTTCCCGTGTAACATGGATAGTGTGGCACCTTCCTTCTGTTTGCTGTGAAGAGTCAATGAAGTTCTACACGTCAAGGGCCAGCACCATCCCCGGTACCTGAGAAAGACTCTAATAGCATCACCATCATTGTCCCCATCGCCACTGTCCCTGTGTCATCTTGGATGAGTAGCTTCACCTCTCTGCACCTCCGCCCCCTAAATCATGGCGTGACTTAGGCAGGGAGGGCCTGGTCATGCCCAAGAGTTTATGACATCAGGTCATGATCAGTGCTATGACCAAAACAAGTAAGTTAAGAGCAAAGAGAGAGGTGTGTCTGGAGTCAGGTGGTGGGGAAGGTCTCTGATAAAAAGACATTTATTAGGACAACCGGCCACAGTGAATGTATTGCCGTGACAAGCTGGGGCAAGTCACTTAGCCTCTGTGAGCCTCAGTTTCCTTATCTGTAAAATGGGGATAATGACACCTCACCTATAGGAGCTGGGTGAGAAAGCCTGCTGTGACCTGCACAGTGTGTCTGCCTGCGTCTTCCCGACCTCAGTGCTCAGCGGTGGATGGGCGTGGCCCCTGGATGGGTGCATTTTGATAAAGAAGTGTGTTCTGAAAGCCAGGGGCAGCCCGAGGGGCCTGGGGGCTGTGCCAGGAAGGGGTGCAGGAAGGGCGGGGGCAGGGACAGCTGGGGAAGAAGCTGCTCCAGCCCCAGAGCCTGCTTGCTGAGGACGGAGCCTGGCTAATGCTGCCTTGTCCCCGGGCCCTGGCAGGCACAGTTGGCATCAGGGAGCTGGCTTCAAGCAAAGAGTACGCTTGGCAGACTTGGGGGCAGCTCCTGGCCCTGGTCGTGCAGAGCCTGTGGCCTGGGAAGGTTTTAGGTCTCAGCTTTCTTACGATTTCTGTGCCCCTTAAAGACCACAGAGCCCTGGGTTACCAAAGTCAGCGTTGCTCCTGGGAAGGGGGTGGTGAGTGGGGCGTGACGGCGGGGCTGTTTTTTATTTACCTCTCAGGGAGCTGGGGGACAGTCCCCGAGCAGCCCCCAGCCCCTCTCGATCGGCAGGCTCCCTGCGAGAACCCAGGCAGCAGGGTTCCCACGACACCCGAGCGTGGGAGCCACCTGGGCCCCCTTTTGATGTGGGATGTGCTGCTTCCTCCAAGTCAGTGAGAACATCCTCCTGCCCTGGACAGGAGACCGCTGCCCGCAGGCCTCCCGGAAGCGGGGCCACCCTTCACGCTCTGCCCCGCCCTTTTGGGGCCCCGCCTGGCAAAGGCTCACAGGAATCTTTAAATCCCCTTGAAATCTGCTCGGACCAGAAGCCAGGCCTGGCCACCCCAGGGGAGAAATGGGTCCGCAGCCATGCTGGTCTTCCTGCTCGTTCCCCATCCGCATCAGATCCTGTTTGTCCTCTGCCCTCAATCCCTTCTGGTTCCCACCTTGCTCAGAGTAAATGGGGCTGTATTGACCCCTGGAACTCCACTTCCCCCATGCTCACCCCCCACCCCCCGACCCCTGCCGCTCCTCACACATGCCAGGCACATTCCCACCCCAGGGCCTTTGCACTTGCGGATCCCTCTCCCAGTATGCTCTTCCCAGATATCCACATGTCCTGCTTCCTCACTTAACACAGGCTTCTGCCCCACTGTCTTCTTTTAATTAAAAAGAAAAAGGGTTTGTTGATTTTAGAGAGAGAGGAAGAGAAAAGGAGAGAGAGAAACATCATTCGGCTGCCTCCTGCACTCCCCCTACTGGGGATGGAGCCCACAACCCAGGGATGTGCCCTGACCAGGAATCCAACCAGTGACTTTTCGGTTTGGGGGATGATGCTCAAGCAACTGAGCCACTGTGGCCGGTTGTCCTAATAAATGTCTTTTTATCAGAGACCTTCCCCACCACCTGACTCCAGACACACCTCTCTCTTTGCTCTTAACTTACTTGTTTTGGTCATAGCACTGATCATGACCTGATGTCATAAACTCTTGGGCATGACCAGGCCCTCCCTGCCTCTGTGACCTCCTCTCCTACTCCCCCTACCTCTCTGCTCTAGACATCCCTGCTGCTGCTACAACCTGCGGAGCACGGTTCCCTCTTAAGGCCTTTGCACTTGCTCTGCCCTCTGCACCCCCCCCCCATGCGGGAGGGCTCACTCCATCTCTGTTGCAACCCCACCTCATCAGAGAGCCCCCCTCCCCCGACCATCCAATGTCTAGCACATAGTAGATGTTCAGTGAACACTTATTTCGTGAACGAATGAAGGCAGCCCGGATTTTGGGGGGAGGTTCCAAGGGGACACCTGTGCCCGTGCTCAGGGACATTGTCCCCAGGCATTTTTTTTACACGTCTGAAGTGAGCCTTGAGCAGGAGTCCCAGAGAAGCCCCCCCGCGGAGGTTCTCGGCCAACATTCATTCTAAGTGACCACGTTCAGCGGCATCCTGTGGGAACAGCCCAAGCGGACGTTCTCGAGGAAATGCCCGGAAATGCTCCCCATCCAATTGGAGGCAGGCGTTCCATGGCCAGGGTTTGGGGAGCCCAGACAGTTCACACTGGCCCTCTGCAGACAGGCTGAAAGGTGACTGCCTTCAGGAGGCCACTTTGGATCCCCATCAAGCGAACTCATGGCCACTCCTCCTTTTCATTCCCACGGGACTGTGTTTCTCTTCTTCTGAGGACTCAGGCATGTTCGCTCTTGCTTTCTAGTTGTGTGGTTCCACCCCTATCTCCTCCCCCAGATGGTGAGCTTCTGGAAGCGTCTCGGACCCGGCCCTGTGACCCTCGGACTGAGGACGAAACTCGCTCACATGGTTCTCAGTTAGTACTCCATGGGGAAGCTGAGCCCAATAAGGAAGTGCTCCACTAGCTCTGCGGTCTCTTCAGAGGGAGGCCTAGTATCTTTAGAAACAGGGGCTCCAACGCCAAAAGCTCCCCTCCCCCCAAGATTGGAGCAGGGATGGCAAATATCTGACAGGTGTAGTACTACACCCGTAACAGGCATCACCAATCAATCCCAGCGCTCCTTTCCACGGAGCCAGAAACGCAACTGCAGAATCCTCCTCAACACAATGCTCCAGGGCGTCGCTGCCATGTGAGCAGAGACGGCTCAGGATGGAATCTGTTCATTTATTTTTGCAGATGATGGGACTGAGGCCCAGAGAGGGGAAGTGACTTCACTAGGGTCACCCAGCCGGCTCTGGGTCCTGGAGTTTTGAGTCAGTGGGCAGGGTGATCCCACCAGGCTGATCTGTGGGGCCATCTGGGAAGGTGCCAGCCTTCTGAGACCTCTGTGCCCTCCAGGTGGGCTGAAGCCTGTGCCCTGGGCCCTGGGCCCTGGAGTTGGCTCAGCCCTGAACAGGCTGCACAGTGGGTCCCTCTGTCTGCTCGGGCCACCCCGCTCGGGCCACCCCGCTCGGGCCCAGGCATAAAGGCAGCTCAGGGCCCCGGGACAGCAGGAAGCCACACTGACACTCCCTTAGGGCAGCTGAGTTCCACCCCTCTACCTGTATCTGGTGTCCCTGCCCGGGGACGCCCTGCCAACTGTGTCACTGTTCTCTGATGATGGTTTCCAGGCCCCCCAATTGGCTTCAGGAGCCCTCAGAGCACCTGGCACTTACCCAGGGGCCCCTTGGGAGGCCTAGGGGAGCCCAGGCCTCAGTCATTCGGGTCCAAGAGGGTGAGGAGGGGGCAGAAGGGAGAGTGCCATGGGCTTTCCATGCTCCCTGGGCCTGCTCCTGTCCCCTGGCCCCTTCCAGCGCCCAGTCCACCTGCACCGAACCCCCGCCCTCCACAGTCCTGGGGCCCACCAGGTCCCGCCCACCCCTCTGCAGAAGCCAGAAGCCCGAGGACAGCCGGGCCAGCGCTGGGAAGACTGGGTGCCCCACGGACCCTAAACGTGCAAGCCATCTGGCTGCTGCCTGGAGGCCTTACTCACGTCCCCTTTCCTCCCTCGGGC